TATCAGAAAGATTATGCAAAAACAGATATCATCGGTATCAGAATAAGTTGAAATCTGCAAAAAAGGAGGTTTTGTATTAAATCAAGATTATTGGTTATAATACAAGATATAGGGAATAAGTTCTATCTATATTCCAAGTGATTTCAAGATGAGACAACAAATGGCAGTATTTATTCGATCTCATACTGAGTGAATTACCCATACTCATGAATTGTGCAAGTGAGTTGTTTCGAATAAACTGTTGGTAACATATTACATTTTTCCCGTGAAATACGAAATGTTAGTTACTATTATTTACACTGTTAGCCTGAAATGTATCAGCTACCAATTCACAATTAGTATTTGAATACATTTTCCGTTCAATTTAAACACGAATTTAAAATGCTAATAATTTGTATGTGTGTATTGGGTGCAGCAACTACTTACGTTATTAAAAACATTAGAGTAGTACATGTTATATTCACAGATGTGGCCCCTCTTTTAAAACGCGATATCTGGCTCTGACGTACACGTCGCCGATGTTTCCCCCACCAGTTGTCTCCCCTCGCGGAGCATCCGGCATACTGTCTAGGCTCCTGGCTGGACGTGTGTGTGTGTGTGTGTGTGTGTGTGCACGCGCGTGTACGAGGAAAGAAAAGAACGGCCGTGGTGCTTGGCTCATTAGGAGACCACAGGTGTGAACGGGAGTAAGCCACTTCTTGAAAGAAAAAAAATGAGCAAATGGCGCAGTGAGAGAAACCTAAAAGCGTAGTTTACGCTGTGTAAAGTGGAGAGCAAAAGAAGTTAGTCACAGAGTTATTGAACTTTGAAGAATCAAGGCTCAGAAGAAAAGAGAGAAGTAAATCACTACAAAACAGCGTAAAAAGAAAAGTCAGCCTTTAAAGGAAGGTGACTTGTCAGTACTGTAAGACGCATTCGTAATATAGCGTAACAGGTTGGATTTCTTTGGACTCTCGCATTTTAAAATGAGGGAAACTTTGACTCCCCTGAATATATCTTATACTACTGTGATGTCTCTATTTACGTAACAGCGCTCTCATTTATTTCTAAACTTGTCGTGGGTGATTGCATTTGCTAAAGTAAAGGACTGTGATGAAAAACATTGTATGGGTGGTGGCAGTAAGAAATGGAAGAGTTTTGGCTCCAAGGGGATGTGAACAACAAGCTACGGTCTCAATCATATGAAACAGGTGAAGAATACAATTGCAAGTTAAAGTGTCGGGAAGTTGTTGGTGAACAACAAAGAAGTAATGTTAAGAAATTTCATCTCCCTACTCTCGAGAAGGAAAGAATCTTTTCATTTTGCTGGTCTTTCCACTGTGTTCTAAATCAAGCAAAGACGTCTGGGGAAGCCAAAAGATGAAGCAATGCTTAAAATACCTCTATGGTCTTCGTTTGTTAATATATTGCTGCATTCACCTGAAATAGAGAAACCACAAAAAACCACCGATCCGACTGTTAGAATTCTCCTCCAGTGCTGAATTTCGACATAGCTAATTTCGAAAATACGTCGGTACTCGACTCTCAGAACCTCCCAGTCAATGAAGCAGACCGTTTTCGACATTGGTTACTCAGTTAGATCGAATGCAACCCAGTCTGAAATAAAATTCTATCGGTCGGCTACTCTGATCGAAAGTTTCACATGCTTTCTCTGATCACAGGCGAATGTCAGACCAGTACTCAAACGGACCACAATTCGCACGTGATTGTTCCATCTTCCTATTCCTATCCTTAACCCTTACATATTCTCACACTTCCATGCACTCCACAACCACTTATGTTGGGAGACCAGTCGGGAACTTATAACTTTCCTCGGCTGAGCCGTGCCCTGCTGAGGGAGATACCCAGAGAGAGAAACCTCGCAAATTGACGTATGTCGATGCTGGATCACAACTCACGATTCCGCCTGGAATGAACTCCGTCACCTCTCTGCTTGTAACCTCTATTACACATAGAGAACTAATTACCATAATAGTTGACACGCTCGTAAGCACTAAACAGGAAATGAATGCACACAATCGGGACTCGACCCTAGAACCTTCCGTCTACGATGCCTTGCAACTGCGTGTGTAAACGTGACGTTACATCGCATTTTATGAGGTAGCGTTGCCGATAATTCTTTTTTTTTTTCGGACTCAGATAAGCGCGATGTAATTAATACTCGTCACAAGAGGATAAAATGATTCTTATCGGTGTAGAAGCCTGATACATTCCTGTCGATTCCTTCACATGTTACAAGATAATAGTCATTTGTGGGCTGACATTGGATAACTGAGCTCGTCAATTTCTACAGGTAAGAGCTTTTAGGTATTCTCTACCATATTCTGGTGTCAGCTATTAAATACTTTTACAAGCACCAAAATTGATCAGGATATTGATGTGTAGATAGTATCAATCGTACAGCGTTATTGTCGTGAAAGAATGTTCTAAATAATTCCACCAGAGCGTTATTGTTGCAGTGTATAACAATGTTCGCCTACATAAGTCTGATCCTGCCCCCCCCCCCTCACTATATGTGTCACTCCGCGTTTCTATGTGTCTCTGTCTTTCTACATCTCGATTTACTTCTGTTCTTATTTTCACTCACGTTATTTTGCACTTAATGAAGTTTTTGAATTTTTACACTATCGTCCTTCGAAGGGGAAAACGTTATGTAATCTTGCGCCAGAAAACGGTGACTTTTTGACAGTAAAACTCCTGTTGCCAAACATTAGTACCAGAAAGTGCACAAATCCAGTTGCTAAATATATACAAACTCTCTAACACGCGGTGTAACCATAATTCATATTTTGGTCCTTGAATCAGAAATTATCCGTGATACTGGTATGAAAAATCGATCGACAACAAAACGTCTGTCCCTTTGCCTGCCCGGCTGTGATCAACGCCATCTCCTAAACAGTTCTGCCGATTTTCTTAGAGATTGATAGTTTTGGCAGACCTCGAGACTTTGGAAGATTCAAACGGGTAATTTGAATTTTGAGGCTACTTTAAATGAAGCCTCAAAAATATTTTCAAAAGTTTCTAAAAAAATGACAACAAAGCTTTTGATTAAACTTTGTTCTTTATTTCCGTGGAGCACTTTTAAGAGAATGATGTAGGTCTCATGCTCATTGTAATCCCATATTTTTTAAAAATTGCCAATGTGCAATTATTCTGGTCTTCTTACAGCTAAAATATTGAAGATATATTTTTCCTTACTGGAATATTTTTTAAAGACGTATATTTTAATATGTTCATGTTCAATTTTTTGAAATAGGAGTAGTTTTTGTGTAATTTTGCTTTAAAAAAGGTAAGTTTAAATAATGTTTCACGGTTTTTTTCACAAAAACCGCTCAAAATATTTTCTTTACTTTTTTACCGCGGATAGAAGAAGGTACATTTAAAAGATTGGCGTGGGTTTCATTTTCGTTGAACTCCCGGAATTTTCGAAAATTGCAAAGTTAGGAAAAACGCGAGAAAGTGTGTGGTATTGTAGCACCACTAGTTTCATCTTAAATTCATTTGATACCTTTCTGTTGGATATAATTCTGTAAAGCAGTTATAAATTTACTTCAAAATTTTGTGCTGAAGACGTGTTATAAATCGTACAAATTCTTCATCGTAACTCTATATAGAAGGGGTGGAAAATGAACTTGAGTGCATTCGTTGATTGACCTCTAAAGCCATATTGTCACGTCTTAAACTATAATGATTGTTAAATTCGTGTCAAGCAGCATCTGAGAATATTATCATAAATTGTTTAACAGAGAAATTTAAAGTGAGGCTCTCCATGTCGAAGTTAAACCTGGAGAGATGGCTCAGGGCATCAACTGATGTCAGAGCAGTACCTCTGACCGGAAGGTCCTAGGACCGGAAGGACCGGGTTTGAGTCTCGGCGGTGGCAGAATTTTCGACACTAGCTTGTCAGCTAGGTCGAATTCAATCGCTGTCTGGACGAAAATTCTAGCGGCCGGCTGCTCTGATCGGTAGTTTTCCGTGGTTTCTCCGATCAACACCAGGCGAATGCCGGAGCGGTACGCTAACAAATGGGCCACGAACCGTGCGCGATCTTTCCTTCCTCTTTCTTTTCCTATCCTCATCCCTTACACACACACTAACTCTACCACACATGTCGGGAGACCGGTTGGGAGCTTAGAGCTTGTCTCGGTTTGAGCGGTGCCCCGCTGGTGGGAGATACCTGGTTGGGGAAAAGCCCGCTAGCCGACGGTAGGTCGGCGCCGGATCTCGTCATACAGCAGAAGACCACCTCCACCTCCCGGGGAAAACAATCACTACACTTACGGTTCAAATGTATCTAGTAGTTAACGCGCTCGGAATCACTAACGGGCAATCAATCAATCGAAGGTAAAAGGATAGACCACAAACGTGAAATTTCAGAGGGCCCGCCTTTTCCCTTTCAACGTGCTATCATCTAAATAAGCCATTCATCAAATAATCATCTGTAAAAGTAATATTTACTTAGATAGAAAGTTTGAAGTGTACTTTTCCGGATTCCAGCAATTGTTTTTTTTTATTTCAAACATACTCCAGTTAATAGAATTTCAAAAATAATAGGGAGTATCACATACCCAGCCCTATTTAGCCAACGCTTGTGTAATGAATACAAATCAATTGGCTACTGCTACTCAAATGGCCTCGATCCTAATACGATTGGCAGATAAAAGTGTCAAAATAATCAATAAATGATCAGAATATATCGACGGCGGGCCACTAGACCCGATTGCAAAGTGAAAATGGTACACGTTATTCTCTTTTATCTATTTCAGATTTATAATTTACAAACTCAGATTTCATTGAACTAAAATTTAACATACGGATTCAAATGTAGTGTCAGACCAACTCGCATTGAAAATAGGGAGGAAAAATAAAGTTTCCTTACATATTCCAAATTTATAATTTGTTCTTTGCAATTTGGAGTGACGCAGCAATTCAAACATTAATTACTCGTTTTGCTCGTAGTAGATCTTTTGATAAAAAATTAATTTAAGATTTCTGTTTGCAGAGTTAATTCAAAGTTGAAACATCATCGTGACAATGGATGACTCGAAGAAATCTGATGGCCAACTTGGTGATTCCGCAACGCTTCCATCCTGGATAGATAAGACGCTAATCCAGCAAGCAGTTCGCAATGCGGGAGACGAGAAGTCGCTAGTTGTGGCGATCCACGTCAGCAGCGCCACAGTCGCAGGCGACAACTATGCAAGCACTGTCTACCGGGTGAAGGCCACACTCACTGATGGAAAGGAACGATCTTTTATCATTAAAGGGCCGGTGCCTGGTGAAATGATGGCAAACATGACCAAAGAATCGGGAATCTTTCGAAGGGAGACCATCATGTTGGCAGATATTATTCCGAAAATGGAGGTACTGCAAACTATTACTGGTGCGATCCGTATTCCGGTCCGCTTAGTGATGCAAACCGTATAGAAAACTGAATTGATGTTTTATTAGTGAGACCAAACTAAATAGGACAGGAAATGAATTCCTTAATAATAAGTATTTTTTGTAGTTCTAGAGAGATCAAGAAAAAAATATTTTCGTCAATAACGAATGCAAGAAAAACTACCGATACTCCAGCAGCACATACTTTCTCGCATTATTTCTAACTTTTGCAATTTTCGAAAATTCAAAATTCAACGAAAATTAGACATGCACCATTTTTTTAAGAACCCCTTGTTCTATCCGGAACAAAAATAAATAAAATAGTTGTGAGATTTATGAAAAATGTATTTTTATTAATTTATTATTTTCAAGATTTTCGCGAAAACTACATTTTTTTCAAAAAATTGTTCATGACGTTTTTTAAATATTACTTTTGAGGAGAAAGTTAATTTAAGACATTAATCTCCATCATTAATATTGTACTTTGCACAATTATATGTTTGTTGAAATTTCCGAAAATAGAGTTTCTCAAAAACAGAAGCACCACAAGTTTTTATTTCATTCTTCGATACATACGAGAAGAAACTTTAAGGAAAAATGTATCCCGTATTTTAGAAAATAATTCTTTAAAAATGCCATTATTTCACGCAATATTTCTCGAAAACTATTCACATTTTCAAAACTCAGTTTTTGTATTAAAGTCAAGAAACTTATAATAAAATTTTAACATCTTTACCTTACGGAGTTTATTTATTATTATTATTATTATTATTATTATTATTATTATCATTGTTATTATTTTCTTTCTGCGTGAGGCCCTGCTAGAGGAAGCGGCGCCAGGCCGTTTCCCGCCTCTGGCGCCGCGGTGCTACCACAGCGGGTCGGAGCCCGTGGAGTTCATCGTGGCGCAAGACCTGACAGACTACGACTTCCGGATCGCGGACCGGAAGCGCGGCCTGGGCCTGAGGCACAGTCTGGTGGCGCTGCGCTCCCTCGCGCGCTTCCACGGGGCGTCGTACGCGCTCCTGAAGCGGCAGCCGGGCCTGGTCGACGCCCTCGACAACAACTGGAGGAAGAGCTTTGACGGCATTCAGGGCTTTCTCGACGCCGAGTTTCAGGCGGTGGCGGACGCGTGTAGGACGTGGCCGGGATTCGAGCAGTACGCCGAACGCCTGGAGAAGTACAAGGTAAGGCTCCCTTCACGCGGAGCCACTCAGCTGCGCCTCCGAGTGGCGCGTCTCCGGGTGGAGCATTGGTTTAAATGGAGGCATTCACGCCAGTGGCGCTGCTGGGGAGAACTCTCGCCACTAGATGCCCTTCCACGTCACCGCCCGCAATCCATTTAGATCATCATTATTAATACTGAGACACTTATTTTTATTTTTACTGAGGTTATTATTATTATTATTATTATTATTATTATTATTATTATTATTATTATTATTGAAATTGTTGTGATTTCTTCCTGTTGATCCTGATTTAATGTTGTAGATAGATGCTGGTATCATGTAGATTTGGACCATATAGGATCAATCTTAAATTCCAGGAATTATATATATCAACGTTTCGTTCGTTTTGCATGTGCTTTGTCAAGAATTGGTTGTTGCTATAATCGTATTACTCTTGAAAGGCACGTGCAAAATGTATGAAACCTTTATATATATATATATATATATATATATATATATATATATATATATATATATATAAGCTATTAAAGTATTAATTTGTGGAATCTACCTAAGATTGATACTATATCGACCAAATCTACATGATTATATTTTTCACTGGGCATTAGCTCAAAGCATACTTCTATTTATTTATCTATCTACCTACCTATCTATCCATCCATCTATTTACTTAATCAGCCCCTGAACGCACGTCATATTCCCTTTTTCATGCAGAGCGTCGCAATGGAAAGGTTCACAGCACTGAATGACCCAGCCCCAGACGGCTTCAACGTGATCACCCACGGGGACTTCTGGGTGAACAACATGATGTTCCGGTACGCGGACGGCTGGCCCAGCGAACACAGAGCGATCGATCTTCAAGTACGTATCGATACTGGGTGCCATTCTTGTTTGTGCTTGACATTTGAATCAAAAGCATTGGCCAAGATTGTCCCATAACGTAATCGCAACTATTCACATCGGCTGAGGTGGCTTAGGGCATAAATTGATGTCACTGCAGCGCCTCTGAAAGGATGTCTTCGGGTTCGAGTCCCGACGGTGGTAGGATTTTCGACACTAGCTCGATTGCTAGTTCGAGTTCAGCCGAGAACAGTTCTACCGGGCGGCCGTCTGCTCTGGTCGGAAATTTTCTGTGCTTCCTCCACTCAACACCAGGCAAGTGCCGGATCAGTACCGTGACGAACGGGCCTCAAACCGCGCACGATCTTTCCTTCCTCTTCCCAGTCCTAGCCTCACCATTAACTTAAACACACGTATGCACTACACATGCTGAGGACATGACCCGCCGCAGTTAGCGGGAGGTACCTGGTTGGAGGAAAACCCTGTTAACTGACAATAGGTCTGCACCAGATCTCGTCATCCAACATAAGAAGATGATCGGCACATCCTACAATAAAACATTCACTACACGTACGGGACTAGTGACGTGAGCACGTGACGCATGCGGAAACACGAATTAATAAGTTAAAATCTTCCTCCAATTTGAGAAAAACATTATATTACAAAACACTTTTTAGAATTCATGAAAGCGTGAGAAGGTAAATGAAAGCAAAGTGCAACAACCAGAAGTATAATTTCCTTTCAAGGGAAAAGGTTAACAATATTTCTAATCATTTTAATTCAATTTAACGCCTTCTGACATTCACCGTAAATGTCCAGTCTTTAACTTCTTAAAAATCCATTCCCTTATTATCGTCATTGACTTCACTGAAATTATTCAATTGTATGAAATTTCTTTACTCAAATTAATCGGTAATCAAACTCTACAAATTATCTCTTATTTATTCTCGTGTCTTCGCAATTTGTGTCCCGCCTTAACGATCTTGACTATCGGAGTTGACATAAAACAATAATGTTTTCGTACATTTCGTTGAGTCCATTTTATTCCACATAGTTTGAGTAAGCGCATGATACTGTATTTTGCTTGATTGGTGGGTTACACATGAACTTTTTTTTTTCGTTCTGAAGTTGTCGCACGTGGCGTCTCCGATGCTGGACATCTTGTACTTCTTCGCCGGAAGCCTAAGCGAGGATGTGCACGTCCATCATCAAGACTTGCTGCTCCGAGAGTACTACTTTGCGCTCAAGGAGACGCTGGAACTTCTTGGACACGAGGTAACATTGCTACAATCCACATTGTTGTTATTAATTTTTTATTGTCGTTACTAATGGTATCGTTATTGTTTTTGTTGTTATTAATAGCATCGTTATTGTTATTAATTTGTTATTGTCGTTATCAATAGTATCGTTATTGTTATTGTCGTTATTAATGGTATCGTTTTTGTTATTAATTTGTTATTGTTGTTATCAACAGTATCGTTATTGTTATTGTCGTTATTGATGGTGTCACTTTTGTTATTAATTTGTTATTATCGTTATTAATAGTAACTTTATTGATATTAATTTGTTATTGTCGATAATAATAGTATCGTTATTGTTGTTAATGTGTTATTGAAGCTATTAACATCGTTATTGTCGTTATTAGTGGAGTTGTTATTGTGATTAAGTTGTTCCTAATCTTGCTGTCTTTATTAATGTCATCGTTTTTGTCGCAACTAATGGAGTTTTTATTGTGATTAAATTGTTACTAATCGTGTTGGCTTTATTAATATTATCGTTGTGGTCATTATAATTGTTGCTATTGTCGTTATTATTGGTGTTAATATTGTCGTTGTCCTTGTCGTTGTTGTCGTTACTGAGTGCGATATTATCTGTGGAGCCTCCAACCGAAACTTCCTAAGTCGGGATACCTTCTGTCCGAGTCTTGGCAGTCACCAGTTCAATATCTGAGCCGAATTTTACCTCTGGCTCGATGTGAAATGAAGGAGTCGACGAATTTAAATATCTTGGCAAGATTTTTAGACTTCAAGGCAAAAGGAATTAAAATATACCGACAAATTCCGAGTAAGGTAAAAAGGAAATTCTGAGACACTAAAGGGGAGGAGTGAGAGAAAGAAGGGGAGAAGAGGACGGGTCAAAGGAGTTGAGAGCGGCAGGGCAGTAGAAGCGGGAAAAAGAAAAGAGGGGGAGACAAATAATAAATTGGAGATACTAAGGGGTAAAGCAAAGTGGAGATAGGCGAGAGAGAGGAAAGATAAATTAAAGGAGGTAAATAATAAGGGAGAGAGACAATACGAAAGACAAGATGGGAATGGCGGTAAGGGAGCGATACAGTGAGGAAGAAGGAGAAAGTCAGGAGTAAGGAGGGAGAAAAAACGAAAGAAAGGGTGAGGAAGGAGAAAGGGGAAGGGCGAAGGCAGGAGAGAGGGAAAGTATGGAGGAAAAAGAAACAGAGACAGAGAGAGAGAGAGAAACCTGAAGAGCGAGAAGGGAAAGTGAGATAGGAAGAGAGAATGAGAGTGAATCGGAGGAAGAGAAGAAGGAAACAGAGAGGGGACGAGAGGAAAATGTGTAAACAGTGTGGAGTAAAAGGTAAATTATATTTGGTGAGACGACTGCTAATAGGTCCGACATTAATAAATTCAATCAGGGATGAAATTGTCCAAGTGAATCGGAGTCTATAACGCTCAGCATTTAGATGTAATCAATTATTTTACTAACTTTTCCTCAAAAGAACCTTCAATTTTTTCAGACCAAGCTGAAATTAACACTATTTTTTGTGATTGTGTGAGAAGTTGGATGTAATATACAATTAAATAACTGACCGTGGCCATTACTGACCACGCTACACGTGTAAAACATTTGGGGTCGAAAAAGACCCCATACAGGGTCCACGTAAGCATTTGAGAAACAGAGTCCAAAGGATTACAATGTCGTTGACTCCCATGGGATCGATACTAATCGCGTTACTTTTCTTGAACGATGACCTTGCTTCCCCCTCACTGACACAATAAACAGTTGAAGGCAAAATCTCACAGCGAGCACTGATGACAATATTCCAAACACATCTTCAGCGGCTCGAAATAGAAAATATTTTGTGTTGAAGACGGAAACTTCTGCGCGTGATTTTCTCCAAACAAATCTCAAGAAATGACCGAAGCAGGTGAAGATCCATCACAGGAGATACCTCGAACTCCTAAAGTCGGAACGCAAATTATTGAGAAAGTTGCGAAGGCATGACTGATTCTCCAGAGATTGGCATATCTTTATAAAATCTAGTGGCCGATTTCGTAACTAATACCCCCACTCTACCCGCATTTCTCCAATCTATCGTTCAAGAAAAGTTACGCGAGTAATAGCGACCCCATTGAGCAACACTGATCTGTGCTTCCAGGCGCCGCCGCTAGAGTCGTTGCGGGAGGCCTTGGAAGCGCACGGGGAGTTTTCGCTGTTCGTGGCGATGGGCTTCCCCATCTCGAAGGCGGAGAGCGGGGTGGACCTGAACGCCATCCTTCAAGGCGACGTCTCCAGCTTCGTGCCGCTCTTCAGGATTCCTTCCGTGAAGAGATGGATGCAGCGCATTATTCTGGATTACACACGACGAGGGTGGCTGCCATCGCTTTAACTCAATAGCAGGAGACATAGCAATAGCCGGACGCTGGGATGAAGGGCTTAATTTACTATATTTTAAAAACATTTTTTGCGATTTTGACCCAACGCATCTTCAAGCTCCTGGCTCCTCCATTAATATCCATTATTATCAGAACTGGAGTAATCCTCCATGTATGTCATATCCATCACGTCTCGTCACAGGTAGTTATCAAGAGGACCGCCAGGTAGCATCTCCGCATACGCGCCTCTTACTACTCGTCCGTGCGTCACTACTCAGCGGTCAGAATTGGGAAGGCATTAGGATTGGGGTAGGGTTTAGGGCACTTCACAATGGTTCGACTAGCCCCTCTGTGAAGCATGTAAACTTGTTTTGCCGGAAGAAATTTCGCATGAGGTTCTACGGGGATTGTACGAGAATTGAACCCGGAACCTCCGTGGTGAAAGGCAAAGGAATTCACCACTTAAGCTACGATATTTAATGCTAAATTATGATTGTTTTTTATTGCAGGATATAAAGCAATAGACCCATGACATTGGGAGGCCATGCCCAATTGTCTATGAATTAGGGATGTGACATCCAGTGATGAATTAAACAATAGGCAGTACTAATTCCCTAGGGCCTCCGGCGGGCAGAGGCCTCGACGACATGAAACTTAATTAAAAACTTTATTTTCAAGAGTTATTAGAGTTAGACTCTTCATTTTTGTAGTCATGTATTAATTTGCGGGACATTCGGAGATCATTAATGCAACTATGAAACCCAATGCCAGCAATAACAAAACCGAAAAGTTAGCGCATTTTGAATTGTAAAAACTATACATTTTTTTATTATTGAACACAAATGACCTTTTTTGTCTACACGTTTTACGGGACTTTATAAATGCAATAAAATAAAATTTTGCATCAAACAATTTTTAAGATAATTTAATTTATGTCGTGAGGGGGACAGTCAATGTAAACAGGTGAGGAGAGGAGGGCTCTCAGTAGCAATCACCTAGGGCCCCATTGAGTCCACCACTGGCGACATCGACACCAGAATATCGATGTTTGTAAACATCAATATCCAAAATCAAAGCATGAATTTAATAAATCATCGCCCGAAAACCATCTATGTTTTTAAACACCGATATTTTTAAAAGTGAAATAGCTGCAATAGAAACTATTAATATATATATATATAATATAAATATATATATACTTATATCTATATATATATATATTTATTGATTATTTCATTTTTTTTTTTTTTGGTTTTTTTTGGGGGGGGGGACAAAATTTTTTTTTTAAACCATGGCAACTTGTCTTAAAAATCCGTAAATCCATGTAGTATAACCTAACCTGTACAATGTCATTTATTCTTGTTTATTTGTTTCAAAATATTGTAATTATATTTTCGTATGGGTATTGGACACGTTTTGTAATATGTTCCATTGTATATCGCATATTATCCTATATCATTGTTTGGCAATCCGCTGGTAATATGATATATATATTATATATATATATATATAAATATTATTTATATTATGTATATAATATATATTTATTATATATATGTATATAAATATATATTTATATATCTATATTATATATATATATATATATATATATATATATTTGGGGAGAATTTCACGATGGTCGCATTTATTAATTTTTAATTGAGAACTAACTGCAAAAATAAGGTCAAAAAGTTATCCAGACAATTAAAAAAAATATTGAACTTATTTGTAGAATAAATAGCGACATTCCTAATTTCGAATACGTTCATAAATTGACGAAAACCATCTTGCCTCGGGTCATGACAGCGTCGTTAAGATACTCTACAACTCGGAGAAATCCAAAAGCAGTAGAATAGTTTCGATTTTACCTGAACGCAAATATGTTACTGTGTTAATGTCGCAATTTCTCCTATCTGATGTTACCATCATTTTCTCATACTCAATGGTCACTACTTACGAAACAACTGACGTCACACGAAGAGGAAATATTTACACGCGGTGTTTCAAAACAACCAATTTTTGCAGGAAACAATTTTCCACACACTCGACCCGTGACGGATTTATGGTGGTGGAGCTCCTGTGCAAAAAGTTGGTGGGGGACCTTTTGGTGGGATCTCAGGAAAATGATAAAAAACGCTTCATAACAATGTATATTTATAACTATTCGGTAACCATAGGGTAATTCAGAATTTTGGATTATAACAAATTCAATTGCAATGTTTGAATACAAATGTTGCATTCCAATGATAGAACAATATGTGAATTTGATTTATATTGTGTGACTTTTATTGAAACTCACATTACTATTTCCCAATTACTGTAATTGGTTGGGTGCCCTGGGCTGCTGCTCATCTTCCCCACCCTTAAATCCGGTCCTGCACTCGACAGCGGTGTTTTTACTGATGCAGGTCACTAAAATTTGGCTACTGAAACAAAATGTTCACTTATCTTGAATTACACTGATGGGAAAATTTGATACTTTTTGCTGGTAGCTGGGATTGGTGAAAATTTGACTCAATTATTTCTTAACATTGAACATTCAACACATGTGTAAAATAGAAACCATCATTTAATGTGGGAATGCTGATAGAATGTTGTTGATTATGAAACAATTAAAATCTTCCTCGCCAGCTTAATGGATTTATTCAGAGAGCCGGATTTCGAAGACTTTACCTTCATCATTAGTCAAAATTAATAAAAAAAATAAAAAATAAGAAGATAATACAAATAATATAGTTAATAAACGTTTTGAAACTTCTATTAATTTCAATACGTGATTAATTGTATTATTAGTAATATCTTCTTTTTTGTATTTTATTTATATTATATGTAATATTGTATTTATAATATTGATGATGATGTATTTATTTTGATGATGATGGCAAAACCGTCGAAAGTCGGCTTTCTGAATAAATCCATTAAGTTGACGAAGATGACTTTAATAATTTCATCGCCATCATTTACTCTATCACATAGAAAATAGACAGTGGTTCCACCTCTTCACCTTAAATGTCAATAATCTCAATTGCGTCAATTTATATTACTAACTTCCTTTGCGCGCAGAAACTGTAAGAAGCCTGTAATAAAGCCTCCAGACGTGTTAGAACTGCCCACGGTTTCATCAGATACCCAAGAACTTAGCAAGATCCCAAAACAATGAAACAGTTTCCATTTGGACTGAAAATAGTAAATATTTGATTGTATCATACCTCCTATTTTCATACTGAGCTTACAATCTTCACTGGATCCTCATTCTCAGCGTGGCATTGCTGACGACACAGTTGATGTCATCTAACAGGAGGGGTCCAAGGAAGGGGCTCGCCGTGCTAATCGCTTGTTGTACTATTGATGGTCAGATTGTTGTGACAGATCATGTTGAACAGATTTTATGATAGTACTGTCAAGTCGCGGTGTTTATTTTAAATATAAAATCAATCCTCCTACGATTTTTCTATGATTACCGTAGAGTCTATCTTTTACCTGTGGGAGTTCTTGGGACGCCGGCTAGCTCAGAATTTTGAAGGGATATCCTGTTTCCGGTGAATGGAAGGAAGCGTTGTTAGAATCAGCAAGAAAGACATTTCCTCCAGTTAGAATTAAAACACAAACTTGAATCTACTGATTTGATGTTACAAAACTTACCCGCTTTCTGTGCATTCACTACCTCAATTGTCATTGAAAAGAGGCAAACATCTTATAAATACGTTGTTGAACTACATTATCGAAGAATTTAAGAGGCCAAAGCGCGGCCAGGCCAATTCACGCAAAAATTATTGCTATAAATTTTCCCGTTCACTCAGGATTATTCAAGTCTTTTATTTATGAGAATTGCTTGAAGAGAATTTTATTAAAACATTTTCCACATTAACCTCCACTTTCAACACCTAAAGCTTGTCAACAACGGTGAACGAGTGATAAAACCATTGCTTACTGTTTTCCGTTGCTCGGACCATAGATTTAGTTCAGGCAGTAATTCAGGTTTAATAAACAACTAATAATAATAATAATAATAATAATAATAATAATAATAATAATGAGAGTGACTTACTCATTATTAATAATAATATAATTGGAAAAGTACAAAGTTATAAATTAAAATAAATATAACTTTAGGTTAATGAAGTCTTTAATACAAAATATTAAACAACTTTCTTTAACATGCTGAAAATTTCTGTGATGCAATCACTACAGCAGACAGAACTTCAGACCATTAAAACCTTAGGGTCTAAAATCCATAGAGAAAGTAATAGGCTCAGAGTTCAATTTTCTGTGACGTTTGATCCATAACTTGCCACATACACTCCATAGCGTCGAATACTATGTCACAACTGTTGCCCTTGCCCATATATTTCTCATCAGCTAAAACAGAAAAAAATGAGTTAACAGTAGACTTCGCAAATGTAACTAGATCAATTGAATTAAAAACATAGGAATCATTAAAATAGCAATAACCCCTAAATGTTAATAAGTTTCAGTAAAAGGCAATGAACTTTATAAATAAGTTATTTCGTCATAATCGTTGTTATTACTTTCGCACCTTAGTTCCTAAGAAAAGAAACAATTGCAATCGTGCGCCGGAAATAGGTAATTTTTCAATTATATGAAGAATAGTATATTCTTCAACGAGCGTAGAATGATAGGGGTTATTCACATGGCGAAGTTTACATGAACGATACAGTAAGGGGCATAATTTCTACGAGTGAATAATAGCCATTCTACGCGAGTAGAAGACTGTTCTTTCTCTATGAGTTTGATATTGATGATTTAAAAATACTAAATGAAAACATTTGAAAGGGTTTTTCATTTTTGTAATAATGTTACATTTACTGTGTTTCACTTCATTAATCAAATATTTTATAACACTAGATACAAGTATTACAAATATAAATAGTCTATATTTACTTTTTGAAAAAAAAGTGAAATTAGTGCAATTAGTAAAATTTATTATCGAGGGTGTTGACTCTTGATTTGAGCCGATTTCAATTAAAATAGAATTACTAATAGAACGAGATGTTTCTTATATAAGAGTATTTTGAACGATATATGTGTTATATTGTACTGATTGCAGGAGTGGTTTTGCGATAGACATTTTGTTTGATATAGAATCACCCACATAACCTCTGAATCAACTAGCTAAAATACACTACATAGAGTAACCCAAGGCTACCCCTATGGTTTCAGCGCTCTTGGTGGACGCTCGCGGAACTAGGGCCCGCCATGTTTTTTTTCTGTCAAAACGTTAGGGGTGGTAGAACTGTTGTACTGAATTGATGTGTTATTTCTATCAAATCTTATTTCTATATTGTTGCCTTCTCGCTTTCTATATTTAAATTATATTTGTGGTTAGAATAATAATCTTCACAACGTCTTCAGTATGTCCCGCATGTAACAGCAAAAATAGAAGTCATCAAAACACAAATATCATTTTCGGAATTTTCACACAAATAGCTTCAAATGTCTTGATTATACTTTGTTCTCGGAAAGCGTAAAGAACATATACAAGTGTGGCGCAGGTCTCATTTCATTGAAATTCCTAACTATCTTTTTTTTTTTGGAAATTGCCAAGTTCAAACTATTTTTGACGCCTTCTTCTAACTACAATATTGAATAAAGATATTTTTTCCTTAATGAAATGTGTTCTTCAAAATCAGATCTTAAAATAATGAGAAGTGGTTTTGTGAAACTTGTTTTATATTATTACGTTACGTCGATTTAACCCGGTGCTTGTAATCATTCAAAATAACGGGATATTCAAGAAACAGAATTTTATTTTTTGTAGACAAAATATTTGTGTACAATATTTTTACAGCAATTTTAAATTTGTATGATGATCCTCCTATTATAAAAACACTTTCAGATTTTATGCAACATATTCGGAATAATGAAAATATGTAATATTGTTAATTTATATATTGAGAAAAAAACTACACACTGGCACAAGGTTTAAAGCATGGCGTTTGATAATTAGGAAGAACAGAAGAAAATTAAATATAAGAAGAGGCGGATTGTAGTAGTACTATAATAGAATATTGATACAACTTCGTTTTAATTGTAACAGATTATATTTTACTTGAATTCCAGCAAAAATGTGTACTTTCCATGCTAGTACAATAAATTTTAAATAAATTGCAAAAGCAAAAAGTAAAAATGAAATAAATAGAAGCAGAATTGTATAGAAGAAATTCCAGTAGAAGTTGTAAGAGTAGAATAGAAACAGAATTAGAAGTATATACATCAAAGAAACAAAAATAAACAGAAACCGAAGAAGAAACAGAACTAGAAGCAGATGATGAAAGATAAGATGAGGAAGAAGATGAAACGAATAAGATGATGAAAGAGAAGATAATCAATAAAATGTGAAAGAAGATGAAGATTAAAGAGAAGATGCTAAGAATGAAAGAGATGAAAAAGAAGAAACCAAAAGAAACAGGAGAAGGAAGAGAAAGAGCAGGAAACTGCTCACCTTCCCTGTCGCACTTGTGGATGACGATGTCCGCCACTTGCATTTTCAAGGGGTCGTCGTGGAACAGGCGGTGATAGACGTCGAGTCGCTTCTCGGCGGGCACCGCCAGCCACCGGCCGTCCTTCATGGCGCCCAACTGCTCCAGCGCGCACGCCGTCAGGCACTGCGCACCCGCCGACAATCGAGCAGCACCCCCAGAAACGGGCCACGCCCCCCTGGCGCGCGGTCTTTCCTTCCCCTTCCTTACCCACTCCCCATCCGTTACTTACACACTCACATGCAGCACACTACCACACATGCCTGGAGACCTGTTGGGAGCTTAGAGCTTGTCCCGCCTGGGGCGGTGTCCCGCTGGTGGGAGATAGCTGGTTGGGGAAACCCTACTAGTCGACATGCCGAGGTGCCGACGGGTCGAAAAAGGATCTCGCCATCCAGCGGAGGAAGATCACCCCCACCTCCCGAGGAAAGAACATGCACCACACTTACGGCACTAATGATCATAGTAGTTGACGGACCCGGCCTCTATGCCAGGAATGTCATGGTCGCCAGCTCGGTAACTAGCCTTCTAGAGTTCACGGGCAATTCGACCAATACATCTGTCGAGAGGTTCAAAAGTAAGGGTTTTACAATGTTCCGGGATGCCGTTGTGTTATTGGATGATGTTTAGAGAAGACTTTAGGGAAGTCAGTTGACAGTTACGGTTCTCATAGTGGTATTAATTTCGTTTTCCTTTTCTAAAGCAAAGAAGGGACACATTAAAATGTAATCAAGCATACGGGAAATTTTCAATAAACATTATTTCTATCTTGTTATCTCTAGACATAAATAGATATTGCCTATATAGAAAGAAATCTTACTTTCAGATAATGCAACTATTCTTCCTTTCCTGACATTTAGAGAGCGCTATGTATTTAGCTTCTCTCCTACGTCTTACGTATGTACACCCCTTTCTGGACCTCCACCTCATTTTCCGCACACCTAGTATGTACACCACTTTCAATTACAAACGAACCGAATACAATATACTCCACATCCTCACACGCCTCCACAATAACCCATGCACAAAAATAAATCAACAACCCCCTTTATCCAAGATTTAATCCTTACTCACCAACACCCAATAATTCTCCAGATCCCCTCTCCTATACCCTAAGCCAGAGGGCAAAGACAAGCTAACTACAGACGAGCTAAGGATAACGAATTACTACCCCAGACAGACCAAACGAGCTGAAGACGCCGTCAACAACGGTAACTCCGCCGCCTCCTTTCTCCACCCCCTGCCTCTCTCACCCTGCGCCCATCCGTAGCATTCCACATACCTCCACTCCCAAGACCATAACAAATTAATCCGTCCTTCCGTGGAAAAAACAGCCCGTCTACCCATTACCCAGGCTCCCGATCACCGTCCCATTCTGAGGAAAGGAGTCCAGACACTTGAAGCACGAACCCGACAAGATGTCCCCAGATCGAAGAGACCCCACCGTGAGAGATGGCTCAGGGCATCAACTGATGCCATTGTAGTCCCTCTCTGGGGTCCTAGGATCGAGTCCCGACGGTGGCAGAATTTTCGACAGCTAGGTCGAACTCAGTCGCTGTTTGGAGGTAATTCTAGCGGTCGACTGCTCTGATCGGTAGTTTTCCGTAGTTTATCTGATCAACATCAGTAGAATGTCGAAGCAGTACCCTAATAAACGCTCCACGAACCGCGCGCGATCTTTCCTACCTCTTCTTGTTCTATCCTCCCCCCTTTACACTAACACGCACTACTCAAGCACACAGCCGGAAGACCGGTTGGGAGCTTAGAGCTCTTCCCGCCTAGGACGGTGCCTCCCTGGTGGGAGATACCTGGTTGGGGAAACCCAGCTAGTCGACAGTAGGTCAGCATCTCGCCATATAAAATGCATCTCGTCATACAGCGGGGAAGTCCATCGCCACCTCCCGATCAAAACATGCACTACACTTACGGAACTAGTGACCCTAGTATGTGACATGGTCAGAATCACTAACAATCAATCAATCAATCCAAGGGACCCCGCAAGGGGTCCGGCGAACACAACGAAAACATCCGCTTCGTTCGTTTTGTTATTTAAAGAGAAAATGGGGCAAGTGAAATTCCCCGTGGTTATAGGAGTACCGGGCTTTCCAAACAAGTAGCTCGTGCTGGCGCAGTTTGACATGTCTGCGCTATGCTAACACTGAGATATCTCACCAACATAATAAGAGAAAGTTTTCAATTTGAATATGACTTTTTTTTAAATTTTATAGGTCACATGCATATTTAACTCCAATTAACATGCAAACCTAAAGATTTCTTAACTACCTACTTGTTTGTTAAGAAATTTAACATCCTTCGCAACGTAAATAAACAACCATCGATTCATCGCAAGTCAACTGTTTATTAAGGAAAAACAGCGATGTACAAAGCAAATCAGATTTTAAAAACGAATAGAAGTGACTTTCATTAGTTTTCGGAATAATTTTTGTTATTTTTAATGATACAATTTTAAAAATATATTAGTTAAATTAGCATCATTTTCCTAGCATTCCACCAAATAAAACTTTTCCGGTGAACTGCTGGTGTGAATATCTAAAATAAAATTTAAGAAGGTTTGTCTTTATGAAAGGAATAAGTTTAAATAAGCTTACAATTTCCGAAAATTAGCTTGCATTACATCTTCTGTAAGTACGTCTACGCCATTTGGTATTGTATACGCTTTAAATTCCTCATGTGCATTTTCATATCGTGCCTTTGTTTTTCTAGAATCAATACCAATGTGGCTGCTACGGATATATCAAAATTACTTTAGATACGGAAGAAATATTCGCTTTCATCTTTCTTGATCCGAAGTACACGAATATTGTTTAAATAGGTAAATCGCAAGCAACTCCTCACAATATCTTACTAACGTGTCACAGCAACAGAATGCATTTGGTTTCTATGGCAGTAATGTAAATTTTCGTTTAAATCGTGAGATTTTGTGGTGACTGATAAAATACTGAAAATACCTCGAAATGTTAGTGTTATTACTACCTAGTTCAAATTAAGAATCTCAGCACCGCCTCGATTTTTAACTTTAGATCTTTGCAGTAAAATCACTCGTAGCATTACTAAGTATGTTACTAGCTATAATGGGTAGCTATATTTTTCATGTGTGACGTAAATTTTCTCTGAGGCTGGTAGTGATTGAAAGAATAAATCATGCAACTTGCTTCCCAAACATTATTTATTATCTAGTATCTTTAAATTTGATCACTCACCTTAACTTTTTCAGTATACGAGTCTATTTGAAGATCAATCAATGCATTCACTTCACCTGTAAATGGATATTTGAAGAAAATTTAGATGGCAAATATGAAAGAGGAAAGATCTATTAGTAAGAAAATATTCTTATTTAATAAGAATGTTTAAAGGAATATTATCTTCATATACTCGATATTTACATTGAAGGCGCTAAAATAAGTATTTTTTGTGAATTCTATAGTTAATTTCATTCAATAATATTATTATTTACATCTTAATAAACCCAAAAAAATTACTGCCCAAGAAAAAAATAACGACTACATTAAGTGCCGGGATAATTATTGTACGAAATAAAGCAGCACTATTTGACTGATTTTTTATTTCTGTGTGAATTTTTTCTGAACAAATACATTCATTTCCTTTGTAAATAATAAACAATTTACATGTTGGTGGTGTTTTTATGTGTTTCATGCGTTCTTTTTGCATAGAAAGTATTTTTTCAAACCAACTTTTGAGTGCTTATTGTGGCTCAGCTGTTGGGAGTATGTACGTAGTTTATTAGACAAAATGTGCTTAAAATTGTCTTAAGAGCTTGTTTTCGTAGTTACATCGTTTCCTCGCTGAACATCCAGAATATTCAAATTCAAGTGAACGTTTTTTACGTCGGAATTTTACACCCAATTTTCGGCGATAATATCTAATAATATCAATTAACATATTACGAAGAACTTGTCGGATGTATTTTATCACCCGATCTGCACCCTAATAAACTTGAAGAAAACGTTTTTATTATGCGAGGCAGATACAACATTCAACTTAGAATGAGAGGGACCGCCTTGACTGGCCACGAATGCCTTCGACATCGCCAAGTAAATGATATTCTTACAAAATCAAAACACGAAACTTCTGAGTATAAAATTGCATAGTTCTCGAAACAAATCTTGGAACAGAGTGCTCCTCATTCACAATCTTCTCTCGGTTCTTCACTTTCTTTTATCTTAAAGGTGAAAATGAGATTCCCTAAACTCATGACGAAGGAATGGAGCATGAGATTTCGGAACTCAGAAAACCGGAGACACACAAATAGTATAGTTTTTACTAATTTTCAACAGTAACGAAAGTTATTTAATGTCTCTTCAGAATAAGTGGAAAATAACAATGAGTCATCAAACAAAAACGTATTTTAAGCGCAACATAAATGAAAAAACTATTTATAAGAAAACAAGTCGAATGATCACTACACGTAGTGGCCCCTCCCTAAAAATTCCCAATGCATCTCAGACCAACTTTGATCAAAAACTACAAATTTATCAATTAATTGAACTTTAACTTACTGTCAGTTGCACTGAGTTTTTCCTTGCACACTTCGGCATGAGGTCGAATTACTTGTTTGAAGGATTCTCTAGACTGTGCCTAAAAGAAGGTAAAGCAATAAATATTATTAATTGGACTCATGCGAGCATTCCACATACCGCCGTTAATAATTGTTTTAAAAGTAAAAACTGTATTCAGTAGTGCATCACAGTTTGAACATTTCTGACTGCCCCTGCTTCGAAGTCCCCTTCCAAAAAAGAAACAAAAGTTATGAAATGCCCAAAAAGGTCTTCTGTCCCTTCTTTCCTATATTGCAGAAAATCTGAGGTATCTCAGGGCTTCAACTGATGTCATTATGCAGTCTCTGGCCGCGAGATTCTGGGGTTCGAGTCCTGATGGCGACAGAATTGTTGATACTACTACATAGAAAAATCGAGTTCAGTCACTGTCTACAGGAGAATTCTATCGGTCGGCTGTTGTGATTGGTAGTTTCTTCGTTCAACACCAGCCGAATTCCGATGCAGTTCTCTAACAAACGGGCCACTGAACCTGCGCGATCTTTCCTTCCTCTTCCTTGTCCTATCCTCACCCTCCACACACACTTGCATACACTAAACTACGTATATGCTGGGTGGCCGACACTTGCTAGATAAGTCGAGTTCAGCCGATTCTTGGAGAACAATTTAGTGACCGGCTGCTCCGATCGTTAGTTTTCCGTGGTTTCTCCGATCAACACCAGTCGAATGCCGGAGCTGTACCCTAACAAACGGGCCATTGGCCGCGCGCGATCTTTGCATCCTCAACTCTTACTCAGACACACACTCAAACGCATCGACAGTTTTCGCTCCTTGCCGATATATTTCCAGATTTAACAGCGTTGAAAAGTGTGTATTCTTCGGTATGTATGCTATATTTCTTCAAAATTAAGCTAAAGAAATACAAATGTTTACATAAATCTAGTATTTACTTTTCCGTCGTTTTTCTCGTATTGATCTGGAATGAAAACATAAACAAATTAATCTTAAATGATATCTGTTTCATGGAATTCTGTGGAGTGATAGATTTTAGCGCTTTCAGTATTGTCATTTCGTGAATCGTGTCTCGGAAATTTAAACGGGAAAATATGATTACAACGTGATTATGTTTGCTGTGAACCTGTTAATTGAAAAATGATCATTACTCTTCACCATGTCCACTTTCTTTCCCAGACAGGTCAGAAATAAAGCTGTAGCATTCTAACAAGTCGTCTCAGTTTTTTTAACTGCCTGAAAAGTCTCAGGCAGGCCAATTACGTAAGCTATATAGGTGATGATGATAAGTCATACATGCTACATGTCTCTCTTATCCCGAGTCGTGGATAATAAATCAACGGTCAATAAATCCTGGTCACGAATAATAAATCAGGGCGTAGGACTGGGAACATGGGTAGCTGGTAAAAGTCAGATTAATCAGTCAAAAAAAGTCAAATAATAATTGTGCTAGGCCAAGTCACACCCACGTACATGTGGTTAAGATTGCTGTTCGATTAGTTCTTGATGCCGGACATGTTATTAAACTAGTAGAATTTAAAGAAAAAATTTGAGCCATTTTTGAGAAAATTTTGAAAATGATCCAGGGGCTTCATGTAAAGTGCCCCTAAACTTTAAAGAAAGTTTTTCAAATCGCACCGCCTCGTATCGAGCCAGGTTGTCTGGGGAACATCCACTTTGGAAAAAAATCCTCCGCATAGGTTAGGCGTTAACAGATAGACAGATGTTTTGAAAATAGTGGTGCTATAGAATGGCACAGACTTTCCCGCATTAATTTTCTATGTTCCAAAGGAAATAGTCACGGCTAGCTACTCGGATTTGCCACATACTCTTGCCAGTTGCCAACTATCGCTGCTCAAAGTACATTTTTTGACATTTTCTTAATTTTTGGGTTTCATTAATAGTAGAGAGGAAATATTTTTTAAATTATAAAAGAGCAGTAAAACCTCGTACTAAATAGTAATTTTATATGAAAAATCTGGAGTCAGTTTTTAAAAAAAATTGCGATTAAGCGCTACTGTATATTGGAAATTTGAAGCTCTTTTTCACAGAAAACTATTGATTTTTCAAAAAACTTCATTTGAAGTCATTTTAAGTACTATATCTCACATATATAATAGTGTTTTTAAATTGCTGGAAATGTGCATATCACCGGTATGAGAGATCTTTTAAAAAATTTACATTTTTGTAAATTTTGAAGAAACAAAATCACGGAAATGAACTATACGTCATATTAACGAATGCAATTAGCACTCTCCGTTCGAAATGTTTGAAGAAAAAATTTGAGTCGTTTTTCAGAAAATGGTGTTTGAGCGTTTTTGAAAATCCGGAATTTTGATCTAGTTTTCACAGAACACGGCTGATCTTTCGAGAAACTTTATATGACATTACTTACATCACACGTACTTATATATACAATAATATGAACACATTTTCACAAACATAAATATTAACATGAGAAAGTAAAAAAAATGTATTTTTTTAAACAAAAGAATAGAGCAATATGGCGTTAATGTCATCTTATAGAGGACATGTATCCCTATCCCTACCAAAAGTTTAAAGAAAAAATTCGTAGCCTTTTGGAGAAAATCTTGTTTTTGTATTTTTTTAAAATAGCACTTATTACATCCAATATTGCGCAAAGACTTCTAAAATTTTCAAAAAAATGTTAATGACTTTAATTTAAGAACTTACTATGGACAGCAAATTTTATTTGAAGGAAAAATCTCTAATTTTATTTTGTAGTTGTAGAAATTTTCGAAAATTCAGAGATAATCTTTTGTTGCGGACCTTTTTCGACTCGTTTCGATAAGTTTCGACTCGATCCAGATGGACAGGGATTTCTTCAACTTGGAAAATATCCTACGCATGATTTAGTCGCTAGTAGTGTTCGTAGACAACGGACGCACAGGAGGACGGACGGATGGACAGACGAACGTACGGACTGACAGACGTTCTGAAAAAAAACAACATTTTGTCGGTATTAGGGGACCCCAAAACGTCTATTTCCATTGAAATCTCGAAATGGATTTTCCACAGCATTACATAACTTTCTCTATAATACGTAATATTACTCAGTATATTCGTTCGTATACGGGAAAGTAAAAATAGGTAGTTTTTGGCATCCCCGTGGAGCAACATTCGAAAATGTCTAACAAAGCCACCCATTTCGGTCGTGAGACAATTATGAAATGAAAAATGAACCTATTTCCAGTTATATTTTCCTGTATCACAAAAATTGCAATCAAAAAAAGTTTTTAAAGAAGGTTTGAATTTAATACTACATTTGTTTCACTTGACAGTACGTACTCGCAAACTAAAATCATCTTTCCATTTCGGTTAAATTTTCAAGATAGCATGACTCGGGAAGCAAAAGGTTTAGATATTGAAAACAAATCCTTCATAACGCAGAATAAATACAATACACAAGCTAAAATGACCTATCATATTATCAAGATAAAATTACATATTAAAATCTGTAGATATGACGTCACATAATACCGTCTACGTTAGTTCAGCGGCCTCATTGTCGTAACTGCAGTATTGTTAATCTGGAAATCCTGGTATTCGAAATCCGGGCGGTGGCGGATATTAAACACTTTTGCCATTTGCACTACACATTTGCAATAAATATCTGGGATGAAAGTAACCAATGAAGGAGAATTCTAGCTGATGGCTACACAGAACAATAGTTTTCCATGGTTTCTCCGATCCATT